TAAGGCCAAGGAACAGCCTATTAGCTCTGCATGCCATTAATTTTCATGGATAGCTCAATCCAGTGCTCACAGAAGCTGTTGGGCATCTTTCCATTTTGTCTAGCAGGACCTGGATTAGGGCTTATTTATCTTTTCACTATATACCTTATCTTTAAGTAGGAAGCAGCCCAAACAGTTCAGTGCCTCTGTGCAGGTACCAAGCCCTGCACCAGGCTCTGTGCCCAGCAGCATGCAAGATGCTGTCTGCAGGTCATAGCAAAGGCATGTCACAGTCAAAGCCACTCGTGGAGAATTAAACTTCAGGCTTGTTTGACTAAACTTCTGAATTCACCATGGTTCCCCTGTTTTGCCAGCCTGAAGAAGCAGCCCAGCAGGTTCTTGAGTCACATGCCAAAGTGCCTCCTTCAGCCTCCCTGGGACTGGAAATGATTACTGATAGGTATTCTTGCTGAAATGATTTAACATAATGTGCTGAATAAGATAATGCCAGAGGGAAGGAGGACAGCATGAACCAAATTCTTTTGCTGGCTTCTGCATTTTACAAAATCTCTGTTACTGAAGAATTCACACAGGGAAGCTTCACTCAGGCTCATTACAAGAGCTCTGTGATGTAGGCCTGGCAGGTAGCCGGGGGGATGGAGGCACAGGTTTGGGTCAACCTCTCTCATTCACATGTTCCCCTTTTACATTGCTTTCAGTGCTCTCCAGTACAGGCTGAGAACAGAATACAGGTAAGGAAATGAGGTGGGCATGAAAGCAAAGCTGGTGAGGTGTTGGGCACTCTCTGCCCTGCCTGCACAGCCCCAGGTGTGCATCTCTGCTGCAGCTGCATCCACTACTGCAGGATGCAACTGCCAAGTGAAACACAGTTTGGGCAGGAACAGTAGCCTGCACCACAGGACAGATCTCTGCATACCAGGGATGCTAAAGGTTTTGCTGAGAGACCAGTTGCCCTCACCAATCCAAGTCTCTCAGCCTCAAAATTAACTTATTGAGGCCAGCACTCATATCAGTGGAATTGTGGACTTCTGATTCAGTCTTCCTTTCTGAGAGAGCCCCACACTCTCTGGCCCAGTATGGCTATTACCTGCCAACCTAAAGGATGATGAATATAATTTATATTGCAGTAATGGCCAAGCACTCAGTGGAGACCAGGAACAGGCTGTGCTACGGACTTTTCAAACACACTCTGAATGAGGACTTCCCACAGATGGCTGAGTGTGTGAAACTGCTGAGACATTTCAGGATAATGTTCTTGAACACCTTGGACACGATGACCTCCAACAACTCTGCAGTGCTTGTGCTGACTGCAACAACACAGGATGCCATTCTACAGTAAAGGCATTTATTAATACCAAATTCTTACCAGGTAGTGTGAACATGCCTTTAAAAGAGCAAAAAAACTTTTCTACTTCAAAGCAGGCAGCTCCTTGGTAGGAAGGTCTTTAAAGTTCCTTGATTAATACATGTAAAAATACTAAGCTATTTCAAACCAAACAGAAAACATAGAGGAATGAAGAGGTCATTTCTGATTAAAAGTTTTCCTAATATTTAGCTATGGTTTTGCTGTAGAAGAAAAATAGTGAATCAATGAATAAGAAGTACTCAAGATAAAGATGAGAATAGTAATCCAGCAATAGTAAAACATGAAGGGCATGATCCTTTAAAAGAGCATGTAAGACCAATTTAACTCTGACGTGTGCAAACTTGTAGGATTAGGCTTCAAATAATTGCAGGGAAAAGTAAGAACTGAAAAAATTATACCTTTAGCTTTTCAGTGTGGTGAGCCCAGATAACTAACGTTCCCTGGGAAACATCCTCCCAAGAAAGAGCATCACAAAGATGCAGAGGAAATACATCTAAAACATTCAGTGCAGATTATTTTATTCTATTTTTTTTTTCATTATTAATCATTCTCTCTGTATCTTAGAATAATAATGTACTGACTTGTTTCATATGCACTGAGGTACCAAAACCTAAAATACTAAGTGACATATTCCACCAAGAAATGCCTTAGAGAAGGTGTTGTGGAAGAGATGTTGGCCCCTTTTTTATCTCTTCCAGAACGGATGTGCCAGTATTCAAGTTCTAAATATATATCCAGAAACCAGAAGACACTAGTGCCTATCAACAGCCTTATTAAATATCAAAAGCTAAAGATATACCTTACCTTTAAGTATACTTTTTACACTTAAAAGTTGTTTCTTTTGAGGCTATGTCAGAGTTTCCCTGACAAAAGCCTGAAGGTGCAAGAGCCCAGTAAACAATCTAAGCAGGGATCAACCTGATAGGCTTTTTTCTCTCTTGGCAATCATATGGGTGATCACTCCCAAATGAAATGGGAGAAAGAAAGCACATGGTAAGAGACTGCAAGTACTTTTTATCTGCCTCAACTCTAAAAGTCTCCGAAGAGGAGGGATGTCTCAACATCTGGACATTCCCTTCGTTGTCAAATGCTCACAGAGCAATGGGATTTGTCAGCAGCAAGCTGAGCATATACAGATGACAAGTGCAGAGCCTGGAGAGCTCAAAGGTGTTTACAGATAGATAGGGATTGGCAACAGATGTGCTGAACCAGAGCTGAGATCCAGAATCTGTGAAAACTGCACCAAATAGCTGTAAAGTCTTTGGCTGAGGTAGTTAAATCAGGCACCATAATATATCAAATTTAGCCTGTGTACAGTTTAAAATTACACAGATTGTTTAAAGATGGCTGATCAGCCTCCATGTCACATTCTACAAGGAAAAGACTTGGGATAATTTTGGAAGGTGGTCTTTACTGCCTAAACTACAACCCCATCTATCACTCAAATATATGGAAGTGAAGCATTGTTTATAAAGAGATTTTGGGTTGTCCTAAGTACAAATTTCATGGATGATGGATTTAAAGCTCTCTCCAGCACCTACATCTCACCTAATGGTACTCTGTCCCTCGTAGATTTTCAGCCTGTGGCCCCACCATGATCTACATACCTTCCTAAATCTCTTAGAAGATTTTGTCAAAGAGATATGTCATATTGGTACAACACAGAGAGGCATTATATCAAAAGATTTTTGCTTACTGACATAAGCTCCAAATTATTTCCTAAGTCAGCTGTATTTTCAATAATTTGTCCAGTTTATATTTTTCAGAATAGAATTATCCACCTCTGCTAGCATATAAGTCCCTCTCATCCTCCAATTCAGTCAAGGATAGAATTTTGCATCAAACTTGTTATAGCATCAAATATGGGTTTTTGACCTGGCATCATAAAAATAAAAAGAAGACACCTTTATCTGCTACAGTCTGTACAAATGTGTAAGTTAGCTCTGTAATATTCAAGACTGGTTAGATTCTGAGGCTGTACCTTCTTCTGCTAAAAGATATATTATCACATCTGTGTCTAAATATTTTTGCTTCCTCTCTCTGCTAAAAGCAACACCTACAATTGCTGCTGCAACTGAAAATTACAGGATAAAAATATTTTTCACCAATGTCACCATTTTGCATTTAGCAACCCTAAATGTATAGTCTAGCTCATTAACAGAGTTTTGTCTGTTTGTATTTACATATAACAAGAGAGCAATAAATGTGTTAAAAAAGAAGCAAATGGAATTGTAAATACGACAAAAATGGAAACAGACTTTGTGGGTTGGTGCAGCATCCAAAACCACTTCACACACTTGAAAAGGAAAAAAGTTAACTTTCCACTTGCCTCACTTAACTGCTTTTAACTGCAGCAGCACATAAGAGGGCCATCAGGTATTTTCATTGGATTTCCTTGCTCAGCAGCCTCATTATAAGGTTTTACCCTCATTAATGGGGTTCTCAGTCTCTGTCAATGTAACTGGTGAACAATATGGTGTTTTTTTTTCACCATTTTGCACAGTTAAGTCATCAGCAAACTCTAAAACGCACTACATTTTTCTTTTTTGGGGGGGAGTGGGCAGTTGTCATCATGCATATATGACAAAGGAAAAAATACAAAAGCAGAAAATGTGGTGAATTCTCCTTCAAGCAGATGGCATTGCAGGAGCACTGAACAAGTTTATATTAGTTACTTTCAGAAAGAGAAGATGTCATATTTGAAATAGATGATCCTACCAAACCCCCTAAGAACTATCTGTAAATCTAACAATTGTGAGATTTTTTCATTAACTCACTGTGACAGCTGTCAAGCTGGTGAAAACTTTTTGTTACTGCCAGTACAATTGTTCATTTAAACAAAAGCCAGTAATTCAGCCACACTGGAACAGCTTCTGTCCCCAGCTCTGCCATACATTCCTCACACATATCTATACATCTACGTGCACAGTTGCTCCTTAATTTTTTTCTGGGGGGCTACAATGTGATTTGTCCAGAGCATGAGCAGAGCCCCACAAAAACCAGGCCAGAAGACAACTTGTGACTGAGTTGTAACAAACTGCCTGTGTTTTCCCTTGTTGGAAGGAAGAGGTTTTGCACTCCAAGCTGGCAGACAGGGTAGGACATACTCCCTGAATGCCAGGCTGACCGTGTGGTCACCCTTTTGCTCTGCACTCTCAAAATAAAAGAATCCAACTGTTGGTAGAAATGTCACCTTGCTCTGTGTGTGGTGATAGACTGAAGTACCAAAGGGATGGGTGGCATCATTCCTCAGGACCCTGTATGACTGTAGCTCGACCCACAGCCCTCAAGGAAGTCCCAGTGTAGGGCTTGGTGCTACTGCAGGTTCTTTGCAACCGATAAAGATGCAGAGTTCCCATTAACTGTCTCCACTCAAGGTAGAATATAATTATGGTGATTTCCTAAAAGCAAACTCAACTCTGAACAAGAAATTAAGTGCAGCCCTTACCTCCTTGCAGCCAGGTTCACTAGCAAAGAACCACCACGGGCACCAAGCCTGTGTAGCATTACAGGGCACACACAGCATTACAAAGAATACTTGGTGTATGCAAAGATCTTTACAAAGTCTGGAGCTCTTACTGTATAATTTAACCTCTTGTAAATGCGATTAATCGGAATGTCGAAGAAGTCAGGCGGAAGGACATGGACATGAACATGCTGAAAACATAAAAGAAAATATTGAGCTCATGACTCTCCTTTCTGGATTGTCAGCATTACTCTCCATGCATGCAAGTAGATGTGTACAGGTTCCCACAGCATTATTTTCAGAGGAAAATAAATTAACCTGTTCCATAACTGTATCTCCACCCATTGGAGGATATAAAAGATGAAAAACACGAGACAGAAGCTCTGCTGTATTATGAGCTGTAGAGTGAAATGCCTGAAAGTTCAGGGGTTCTGTGTCTGACTGACAACAATCCATAGTTGTCAGTCAGAGACGTATTCAGCTACAGCTTTGAAATGACAGTCTACCTTGGAGCTGCGTGTTGTGACTTCAAAACCAACAAGAATAAGAAGGTGCCATTGATGGAGCAGGGCTGCCCAGCGTGGGCAGAGGGTTTGTGTGGACAAGCCTGGGCTCAGTGCTCTGCTGCAGTGGTGAGGGGGTGGACGAATAGATGGTACACAGTGGAGAACACAGGGAGAAAAGCTGTCAGAAAAGGACACTCACCAGGGTGTGCAGCATGGCTGACACAAGGCTTTTCACAAGGTTAAAAAGACTTTGATGTTTTGCTTTTCCTCCCAGGAGGTTGCAGCCTGACTACAACACGCTGAAGCCCCCAGCGGTATGAGGTGCGAGCCGGAGGCACCTGCCTGCGGGGACACGAGCTCCAGTGCACCCACCGGACTCAAACCATGAGGGACGAGAATTATGGGCCCAGTTTTGCAGAGCCTGAAACATAGGGTCACTTTCCTGATGGAAGAGCCATTGCTAGAGAGGTAGCAGAAGTGAGGGGACATGGGACATATATTTTTGTCACAAATGTTGATGAGATATGGAGAGAAGGAGCAAAAATATGGATGAGAAAGCAAATACGTTATTTGTCACCTTGATGTTTTACTGTAAATGTTACTATATTTCTTTTTCTGTTAGGAAATTATGAGCCTCTTCCACATAGGAAGGGTTATTTGAGATTCTCAAGACTCAAACTCTACTAGGAAATCAAACAAACTCTCATCTATCTGCTTTTCTGCAGCAAGTTCAGCTACAACATTGCAAAACATTCTTTTCTCCTTTCATTTTCTTTTGAGAAGAACACACAAACAACACAACTTAGAATAATTCTTCAAGAAAAAAACTCTGCAACTCTTCTAAGGAGAGGCAACAAATGATATGAGTGACAGATCACATTCATGCATCTCCAGGTCTTTTTAGATGGTGTTTAAATCCTTTTTTAAAAACAGGCTGCATCAGAAACAGCACCAAATGCTTAGCATAGAATTCAGATAGCTTGCACCTGACTCAATTTTCTGAGGCAGAAATCAGTTGAAAGTCATGCACCTCATTGAAACATTCTCAAAACATGGCTCAAAATTAATGACATCCAAAAATCAAAAAAGATTTTCTTAGGCTATTTCTGAGAAAATCCAAACACACCTGTATTGTGTTAGCTTCAATCTATATTTGCTCAGTGAATAAAATGAAATCACAAGGATGTTTCAGTTAATGAAATATTCTGAATACCACTCTTTTTTTCCCCCTCAGCTTACCCTAAAGAAGCCAAACGTGATTGCTTATTCTTCTCATTATCCACAGCTTTCAGTGCGTTCAGCCTAGAGATGAGGATGATTCTTGAGGGTTAAAAACTGTGTTTTTAAGTAATACATCAGTGATAGTGTTCTGATAGTGCATTATAATAATATATCATGGGAGTGATAGTGCTCTTGTGATATATTAGTGCAATGTATCATCTGAAAATCACTGCTCTCATGATGTATTGCTCAAAATCACAGGGCAAGTTTAAAGATGATCTTCAGTAGCCCTAGGCCTGAAATTTTGCTTTTGGGCAAAGACTTTCAAGAAAAAGAAAAGTGAAGATTAAAGTTTGCAGTGGTACTGTAAAATGTCACTGGTGTCTCTCACCTGGGGTTCCTGTCTGATTTTAAATTTATTCATAAAAATAGAGAATAATCTGCTAGGCAGTTTTTTTTTCTTTTGTGGTAGGAGTGATGGTTTTGCTACAAATACAAATTTTCAGGAATTTCTCTTGATATATATATACACATATATATACACACAGCTATCTTGATATATATCAATTATCAACAACCGTATTTGCTACAATTGAGCCACCTTTAAGAGTCATTTTTATCTCTGTGGCAGAACATTCCAGGATTCCCACAGGAGAATATCAGCACTCTCATGACAATTTGGAAGATCAGAAAGCACACAGGGACGTCGTCCAAAGCTCAGTGCAGAGGTGCTGCACTGCAGATGCACAGATCAGCACAGCAGGTAATGAAGGAGCCTAATGTGATCTACCCCAAATGGGCTCTTGCAATCAGCATGAAAATAAGAAGAAAAAGCATTTATGACAGCATATGGGGCCACTTGGCATCACTGGGGGACATTTTCAGGGGTTAGTCACCTTCACCACATGCATTATGTTGTTACACAATGCCAGGCTGCAGAGCAAAATCTGTTAACTGTATCAGAAAACAAATGAGTATTTCCAAGGTTTGAGGTAACTACAATCAATTTAAAAGAGAGTAATTTTTCCAGACATCCCACTTTCTTTTTTAAAATTCTGTGCACAGAACATAAATATTTGCATTTTCCCTCCTGTTTGTGTAACAGAAACAAAGAGGAATGGCACAGTGTCTCAAGTAGCTTCTTTCTCTTTGGTTTCACCAAGAAAACACAGGGAAATGCAAGCAGCACAAAGCAGTGAGAAACACCAAAGAAAGGAATTACATACCTTCTCTAATCTGCCTTTCAGTTTCTGGCCTTCCCAATTTAGGGAGACTGATATTTTGATTAATTAGGACTCCTTTAGTTGATCATTTTTGCTCCTTAGTACTATTTGTTACTGCTAAAGCCTCAATCCACTGAGGTACCAATTCGATTTCCAACCTATGAATTGGTTCAGTGGGAGTATTTGTATCCTGGATATTATGTACATGTCTCAGAGTTTTGCATCCACTGCTGGTTACAGGGAGCTCTCCCTAACTGGGACTAGTAGAAATAACTTCAAGGTGCCCAAAAATTAATAGTCACTTCCTTACATTTTGTTTTCTGGGCAGAACAAAAACCTGCACATCCAAAAAAAGACATTTGCAGTTGACTGAAATGTGTCAGTAGATACAAACAAAGCATTTGGCTGCAGACAGAAAAATCCAAACATTGTGTATACAAAGTGTCAAAATAAAGTGTTTCAACTTTCTTCCCTAGTTATTGTGGGTATCCTCATGCCTGGGGGGTGGCTGACAGCCCCATCACATTCCAGCAGGCTGTATTCAATCATTGTTGATTGCATTTATTTTTTTTTCCCCTAAAAAATTTGCTTTCCTTCCAATTTGCATTATTTGATTAACAAGCAAGAAAAGCAACATGCAACAGCCAAGGCATTTACATTAATGGACCAATCAATATCACCTGCATCCGGGTAGAAAAAATGCACAGACACGCTTGCATTGCTTGGAGTATTAACTACCATTCCCTACCCTTGGCAGACTGATGGAGAAAGCTGCACATGGTGGCAGGAGATGAGCACACTGGGTAGGACAACATGAGGACACAGCAGTATGTCCCCAGGTGGGAGACACCATGTGGGTCAAAGATGTCTGAGCCCAACCAGCTGCTTCTGATACTGGGGACAAGATTTCCTGCCAAGGACATCCAGGGTAGCAGCAGCTGGGAGAAGGTTGTGGGAGCTGAATTTTATAGGACATTCAAAATTAAAATTATTAGACTCACAGTTGTCTCAGGCTGGGACTGCTGCTTGCTTTGTTTTCACAGTAACTACAGAACTATAAATGAAATCTGAGTTTGAGAAACTCCTAATTATGTGAAGACTTTTAGACCCAGAATGGCAAGAATTAGAAAACCTGCTGCAAGGAACAAATCTGTAGTGCCACTGGGAAACTGTGAGCCAAAATCTTCTGCTTGATCCCTGCAGCATTCCCAGCATGACTGTGGGAGCATGGGGATGCTGGTGGGCACTCTGAAGCATTCCCACCCTACCACTGCTGAAATCTGGCAGCAGCTCAGGTCTTTATGGGATTATACATCTAAAGGCGATTTCCAATGAACCAGGGCTGCAAAATGCTCACAGAAGTCTCAGCTGAAAAACCTGGAGCCTGTTTTGTTGGAAAACCACCCATTCAGATCAGGTGAGTTTTACCTCAGCACTCGAGGCCATGCAGAAAGCCATGTTCCTACTTATGGCTGGGTTTATATACTGAATTATGGTCAAATAACCAATAAGTCACCACTGCACTGGATGTAAAGAGAAAATACGAGGTGAAAATAGACCCTGAAAGAGATTTCCCAGGTAGACCAGAAAAGCAAAGAGCAGATGACCCTGCCACAGACCACTGGGGAGGACATGGACATTGCCTTCCATAATTCATCAACATTATGTTGTGTTCACTCAGCTGCTGTGCTGGTTAGCAGAGTAGCAAAGCCTGGGTTCCAACAGAAAGGGAGATAACAGCCTGTACTAGAGCTCCTCAGCACACACCCCCAGGGACTGTTGGCAATACATGCAGCTACAGGATGAATACATAAAAACTGGCAACAGGTCTCCTGACCTTGAGGATGAGGATGGGGAGGCTGTCCAAAAGCTGGCAAAGGAAGGGCTGTTCCCCCCATACCTGCAAAAGCAGTCTGTGGGTGAGCCATGAATTCATGCCACGAAACCAGAGCCGCTTAATTCTTTCCCTCATTCCTTTCCATTCTTTCCACAGAGACAAAGCTTTGCAGTCCTGAGCTTCAACCATCATACGGTGCAGCAAGGTCAGGACAGGCTGTGATGTTTCACAGAGGGACATCAGAGCCAGGAAGGGTAAACCTCAATGTCCCTGCCACTGCCGTGTTCAGACAGAAGGAAGGGCATGAAGGGCACCAGCAGCTGCAGGCAAGCAAGACTTGCTGGCCAGGAGACCCCCATCAACCAGGTCGTTGGGAAAAAAGACAGTGGTTTAAAGATAACGCC